CACAGTCACACACACAGTCACACACAGCACGCAGTCACACACACACAGTCACACACACACAGTCACACACACATAGTCACACACACACACAGTCACACAGTCACAGTCACACACACACAGTCACACACACACAGTCACACACACACAGTCACACACACAGTCACACACAGCACACAGTCACACACACACAGTCACACACACGCAGTCACACACACACACAGTCACACACACACAGTCACACACACACAGTCACACACACACAGTCACACACACACAGTCACACAGCACGCAGTCACACACACACAGTCACACACACACAGTCACACACACACAGTCAACAACAACAACAACAACAACCGCCATTCGCCACTAAGTGGCGGTGACGTCACCACGACGCTTGTGCCAGGCCATGTGCACCGTGAGGCCACGTGAAGTGTCGAACGCCCGCTGGCAGGAGGTCACTGGGCAGACCCAGGTGCCACGGGTCGACTGACTGAGATGACTGGCTGATGCACCACCTGTGCCCCCTACTGTGCCAACCTGCTGTGCTTTAGCCACCCGGCGCTCCGCTCGTTGTTGTGAGCATCGCTCCTCCGCCCTCCATTGTTGTTGGAGGGCGACTGCCTCCAACTGCCCAGTAGCATCCTTCACGAGCCTCCTCCACAGAGGCCGATCTTGACACCGCTGGTACCAGTCATCGGCAAGTCCACTCAGCTCCACGTCCTCCTGTACCACATCACTCCTTCTCTTCTCTAGCCCGTGCCGCGCCCGCTTAGCCCCCTCAATCCGGCCAAACAAAAGCTGTTTCGGCATGCGGTGGCTGGGCATGCGGGCTACATGACCCAGCCATCGCAGCCTTGCCTGCCGGAGGAGCTCACCGATGGGACCCTGCCCAGATCTTTCAAGGATTTGTGAGCTCCTCACACAATCCAGTCTGGTTAAACCCAGGATGGATCGTAGGCAGGCCAGCCTAAATGTTTCTAACCGGCGAAGATGTTCCATTAGGGGGGTCCAAGTTTCGCAAGCGTAGAGAAGGGAGGGAATGACCGTGGCCGAGAAGACCTGAAGCTTAGTGCGGAGCGACAGACCAGGTAGCTTCCACACAGCGTTACGCAACCGATGAAAAGATATTGCCGCTCGACTGATTCGGAGTGAGACCTCTGCTGTTAAACTGGAGCCAGTCATAAGCACACTGCCCAGGTATGGGAAACTCTCCACTCTCTCCACAACTGCCCCATCACCGATTGGGAGTTGTGGGGGTGGAGTGTCCGATGGTACAAAATACCCAGGCAGGTGCTTAGTTTTGGTGGGGCTGATGGTAAGGCCCCACCTCTTAGTGGCACGCTCCAGTCTCAGCAGCAGCGTCTCCAACTCCTCCTCTGACTGAGCAGCTATTACCAAATCATCAGCATACATAACGTGGTTGAGCAATAGGGAGCCATCCCTTGACCGCACCCGGGCATCGATTAGCCTCCCATTATATCTGTACCATATGGAGATTCCCCCGGTACAGCTATTGAAGGCTTCACGAACTACGTGGTCAAAATAGATGTTAAATAATGTGGGAGCCAGAGGACATCCCTGTCGCACCCCAAGGTGTACAGGGAATGGCTCTGACTCCCGGCCACGTAGTTTTACCCGGGCCCGCTCACCATCATGAAGGTCCTTAATGATCGTGAGCAGAGGGTCAGGTACTCCAAAAGCACGAAGAACGACCCAGAGCCCAGGCCTACTGATGGTATCATAGGCCTTGACCAGGTCAATAAAGCAGAGATGTAGGTCTTGTTGGAATTCCCTACACCTCTGCTGTAGCAGACGGACAGAAAATATGGCATCTGTGCAGGACCGCCCTTTCCTGAAACCGCATTGGGGCTCCGCAAGCCTCTCCTCAGCGTGCCTGGCAAGGCGATGCTGAATAATCCTTGCCAGGACCTTTCCTGGCACACTGAGGAGTGAGATGCCCCTGTAGTTGTTACAGTCTGTGCGGTCCCCCTTCTTAAAAAGGGGGACCACCAGGGCATCCTTCCAATCCTGCGGAACCCGTCCAGTGGTCCAGACTGTTGTTATGATGTCATATAGGGCAGTCTGTGCACAAACGCCACCCTCCCTCAGCATTTCGCTTGGGAGATCATCTCTGCCCGCTGCCTTTCCTGGTCTCAGACTCCGGATCGCCTTCAATACTTCCTCAGCAGATGGCACCTCAGCCAGCCACTCACAGGGGGTGACTTCTTCCAATATTTGAGGCACCGCAGCCTCAGCAGGGTCATCCTCACTTTGTGCCACGATGTTTTCCTGGCTGAGGGATTTTCCCTCCCCCAGGACCTCACAGAAATGCTCAGCAAATCTGCGAACCTGTTCCTGGGGGTCGGAGATTGGATCACCGTTTTTTCCCCTAATGATGGTAATAGGTGTGGCGCTGCAGGTTACTTTTTTGATGGAGTTAAATAGAGATTTGTGATCACGGGCCACTGAGGCAGACTCCATCTCCTCAGCAACCCGCGCGGTGCCGGACGGGCAACTCTGTCATGGACAGTGCTGTGGGGGGAGATCCAATTTTGATTGGCTCCTCCCCTCATGGCATATATGTCCACCACAGGGGCTAAACGGGGGCTCTGGACGGGTGCGAGGGGCTGGTAACCCCTCCACCTTCAATTAATTACCACGAAACCACGAATTAAACTGAAACCACACACAGTCACACACACAGTCACACACACAGTCACACAGCACGCAGTCACACACACACAGCACGCAGTCACACAGTCACACAAAAACAAAGATAAAGACAAAGATCCCCCGTATAGCCTTAACAGACTGTAGGGGCAAGTGCTGTTAGCGAGCAGCACCTATGAAGGCCGGAACGGTACACGAGGGGGTGGGTGGCCAGCACCACGCCCGACCGCCTTTGTCTCCCTAGTGGCAATGTTTACACACCGCACCAGGTACTCATTTGAGGCTGAGTCGACCTAGGGGAGGCCCGGGACCGGTTCAGATTATCGTCACCGGTGTTGGCCGTGAGCGGGAATCGAACCCGGGTCGCCAGGTTCATAGCGCAGCGCGCTAACCGCTACACTATCGCTCCCCACACACACACAGTCACACATACACACAGTCACACACACAACAACAACCGCCATTCGCCACTAAGTGGCGGTAACGTCACTACGACGCTTGTGCCAGGCCATGTGCATCTTGAGGCCACGTGAAGTGTCGAACACTCGCTGGCAGGAGGTCACGGGGCAGACCCTGGTGCCACGGGTCGACTGACTGAGATGACTGGCTGATGCACCACCTGTGCCCCCTACTGTGCCAACTTGCTGTGCTTTAGCCACCCGGCGCTCCGCTCATTGTTGTGAGCGTCGCTCCTCCGCCCTCCGTTGTTGTTGGAGGGCGACTGCCTCCAACTGCTCAATAGCGTCCTTCACAAGCCTCCTCCACAGAGGCCGATCTTGACACCGCTGGTACCAATCATCGGCAAGTCCACTCAGCTCCACGTCCTCATGTACCACATCACTCCATCTCCTCTCTAGCCCGTGCCGCGCCCGTTTAGCCCCCTCGATCCGGCCGAACAAAAGCTGTTTCGGCATGCGGTGGCTGGGCATGCGGGCTACATGACCCAGCCAACGCAGCCTTGCCTGCCGGAGGAGCTCACCGATGGGACCTTGCCCAGATCTTTCAAGGATTTGTGAGCTCCTCACACAATCCAGCCTGGTTAAACCCAGGATGGATCGTCGGCAGGCTTGCCTAAATGTTTCTAACCGGCGAAGATGTTCCATTAGGGGGGTCCACGTTTCGCAAGCGTAGAGAAGGGAGGGAATGATCGTAGCCGAGAAGACCTGAAGCTTAGTGCGGAGCGACAGACCAGGTAGCTTCCACACAGCGTTACGCAACCGATGAAAAGATATTGCCGCTCGACTGATTCGGAGTGAGACCTCTGCTGTTAAACTGGAGCCGGTCATAAGCACACTGACAGGCTATGGGAAACTCTCCACTCTCTCCACAACTACCCTATCACTGATTGGGAGTTGTGGGGGTGGAGTGTCCGATGGTACAAAATACCCAGGCAGTCACACAGTCACACAGCACGCAGTCACACACCCACAGTCACACAGTCACACAGTCGCACCGTCACACAGCACACAGTCACACAGTCACATAGCACACAGTCACACAGCACACACAGTCACACACCGTCACACAGTCACACAGCACACAGTCACACAGTCACACATCACACAGTCACATAACACACAGCACACAGTCACACAGTCACACAGCACACAGTCACACAGTCACACAGCACACAGTCACACAGCACACACAGTCACACAGTCAGTACACAGTCACACACAGCACACACAGTCACACAGCACACAGTCACACAGTCAGTACACAGTCAGTACACAGTCACACAGCACACACAGTCACACAGTCACATAACACACAGCACACACAGTCAGTACACAGTCACACAGCGCACACAGTCACACAGCACACACAGTCAGTACACAGTGCACACAGTCACACACAGTGACACAGTCACACACAGTGACACAGTCACACACAGTGACACAGTCACACACAGTGACACAGTCACACAGCACACAGTGACACAGTCACACACAGTCACACAGTGACACAGTCACACACAGTGACACAGTCACACACAGTGACACAGTCACACAGCACACAGTGACACAGTCACACACAGTCACACAGTGACACAGTCACACAGCACACAGTGACACAGTCACACAGCACACACAGTCACACAGCACACACAGTCAGTACACAGTGACACAGTCAGTACACAGTGACACAGTCACACAGTGCACGTGCACTTCACTGTCCCTCACCATGCCCCCTATGCCCCTCTTCCCCGTGTCCCCCTCCACCCCCCCTCACCTCTCCTCCCCCCCGTGCCCCCCCCCGTGCCCCCCCCGTGCCCCCCCCCCGTGCCCCCCCCCGTGCCCCCCCCGTGCCCCCCCGTGGCCCGGCAGGGGGTAGAGACCCGGTGCAGGGCCGCACGCTCAGCGTGTCGCTGAGCTCCCTGCTGGCGGTGTCGCTGCTCGCCGCGGCGCTGCTCTCCTCCACGCTCTTCTTCCTGCACAACGCCCGCGGGGTGAGGGGGGGGGCGGGGGGGGAGGGCGCGGGGGGGGGGGCGGGGCCTCTCTCACTGTTCACCTCGCCTCTCTCACCGCACTCACTCACCACTCTCACTCACCTCTCTCACTCACCACTCTCACTCCCCTCTCACTCACCACTCTCACTCACCACTCTCACTCACCACTCTCACCACTCTCACCCCCCTCTCACTCGCTCGCTTACCACTCTCACTCACCACTCTCACTCCCCTCTCACTCACCTCTCTCACCACTCTCACTCACCACTCTCACTCACCACTCTCCCCCCTCTCACCACTCTCACTCGCTCACTCACCGCTCTCACTCACTGCTCTCACTCACCACTCTCACTCACCACTCTCACTCACCACTCTCACTCGTTCACTCACCACTCTCACTCCCCTCTCACTTGCTCGCTCACCACCCTCACCACTCTCACTCGCCCCTCTCACCACTCTCACTCGCTCGCTCACCACTCTCACTCGCTCGCTCACCGCTCTCACTCACCACTCTCACTCACCACTCTCACTCACCACTCTCACTCACCTCTCTCACTCACCTCTCTCACTCACCACTCTCACTCACCACTCTCACCACTCTCACTCACCTCTCTCACTCACCACTCTCACTCACCTCTCACTTGCTCGCTCACCACTCTCACCACTCTCACCACCCTCACCACTCTCACTCCCCCCTCTCACCACTCTCACTCGCTCGCTCACCACTCTCACTCACCGCTCTCACTCACCGCTCTCACTCACCACTCTCACTCACCACTCTCACTCACCACTCTCACTCACCTCTCTCACTCACCACTCTCACTCACCACTCTCACTCACCTCTCTCACTCACCGCTCTCACTCACCACTCTCACTCACCACTCTCACTCACCACTCTCACTCACCACTCTCACTCACCTCTCTCACTCACCGCTCTCACTCACCACTCTCGCTCACCACTCTCACTCACCACTCTCACTCACCTCTCTCACTCACCTCTCTCACTCACCACTCTCACTCACCACTCTCACTCACCACTCTCACTCACCACTCTCTCTCACCACTCTCACTCGCTCGCTCACCACTCTCACTCGCTCACTCACCGCTCTCACTCACTGCTCTCACTCACCACTCTCACTCACCACTCTCACTCACCACTCTCACTCGTTCACTCACCACTCTCACTCCCCTCTCACTTGCTCGCTCACCACTCTCACCACCCTCACCACTCTCACTCCCCCCTCTCACCACTCTCACTCGCTCGCTCACCGCTCTCACTCACCGCTCTCACTCACCACTCTCGCTCACCACTCTCACTCACCACTCTCACTCACCACTCTCACTCACCACTCTCACTCACCACTCTCACTCGCCCCTCTCACCACTCTCACTCGCTCGCTCACCACTCTCACTCGCTCACTCACCGCGCTCACTCACTGCTCTCACTCACCACTCTCACTCACCACTCTCACTCACCACTCTCACTCGTTCACTCACCACTCTCACTCCCCTCTCACTTGCTCGCTCACCACTCTCACCACTCTCACCACCCTCACCACGCTCACTCCCCCCTCTCACCACTCTCACTCGCTCGCTCACCACTCTCACTCGCTCGCTCACCGCTCTCACTCACCGCTCTCACTCACCACTCTCGCTCACCACTCTCACTCACCACTCTCACTCACCACTCTCACTCACCTCTCTCACTCACCACTCTCACTCACCACTCTCACTCACCACTCTCACTCACCTCTCTCACTCACCTCTCTCACTCACCACTCTCACTCACCACTCTCACTCACCACTCTCACTCACCACTCTCACTCACCACTCTCACTCACCTCTCTCACTGCTCTCACTCGCCCCTCTCACCACTCTCATTCGCTCGCTCACCCCTCTCACTCGCTCGCTCACCGCTCTCACTCACCTCACTCACTCACTCACCGCTCTCACTCACCTCACTCACCGCTCTCACTCACCTCACTCAATCACCGCCCTCACTCACTCACCGCTCCCACTCACCGCTCTCACTCACTCACTCACCGCTCTCACTCACTCACTCACCGCTCTCACTCTCTCTCACCTCTCTCACCGTTCTCACTCACTCACCGCTCTCACTCTCTCACCCCTCTCACCTCTCTCACCGCTCTCACTCACCTCACTCACTCACTCACCGCTCTCACTCACTCACTCACCGCTCTCACTCACTCACCGCTCTCACTCACTCACTCACCGCTCTCACTCACTCACCGCTCTCACTCACTCACTCACCGCTCTCACTCTCTCACCCTTCTCACCTCTTTCACCACTCTCACTCACCGCTCTCACTCACCTCGCTCACCTCCCACAGCTGCCCCATGATTGCCACTGCTTCTCCACCACCACCGCGTAGAGGCCGCGCTATGAGCTGCGCTGGAAGATCGTGGACGCTGCGGCGAGCGAGGGCGGCCGCTACTGCTACATCGACCCGGCCAGCCTCCCCTACATCAGCTCCGCCTGGGAGTTCCCTCGCGAGCAGCTTCGCTTCGGTACTCACCGCTCGCTCGACACAGCTCGCTCGACACAGCTCGCTCGACACAGCTCGCTCGACACAGCTCGCTCGACACAGCTCGCTCGACACAGCTCGCTCGACACAGCTCGCTCGACACAGCTCGCTCGACACAGCTCGCTCGACACAGCTCGCTCGACACAGCTCGCTCGACACAGCTCGCTCGACACAGCTCGCTCGACACAGCTCGCTCGACACAGCTCGCTCGACACAGCTCGCTCGACACAGCTCGCTCGACACAGCTCGCTCGACACAGCTCGCTCGACACAGCTCGCTCGACACAGCTCGCTCACCGACACAGCTCGCTCGACACAGCTCGCTCGACACAGCTCGCTCGACAACTCTCACACACCACCACTCGCTCACCGACACCGCTCGCCACCATTACTCACCACTTACACTCAACACCTCCACACTCACCACATCACACCCTCACCTTCACCCCCACTCTGGCCCCCTCCCGTGCCCCCAGGCCGCACACTCGGCACCGGAGCGTTTGGGAAGGTGGTGGAGGCCACGGCGTTTGGGCTCCGGCCTGGCCACAACGCCCTGCGCGTCGCTGTCAAGATGATCAAACGTCGGTGGCTTTACATCTCTATCTCTTTACATCTCTATCTCTTTACATCTCTATCTCTTTACATCTCTCTCTTTACATCTCTATCTCTTTACATCTATCTCTTTACATCTCTCTCTTTACATCTCTCTTTACATCTCTCTCTATCTCTCTCTACATCTCTCTTTCTACATCTCTCTCTACATCTCTCTCTATCTCTCTACATCTCTATCTACATCTCTCTTCACATCTCTATTTACATCTCTCTTTACATCTCTCTTTACATCTCTCTCTCCATCTCTCTCTACATCTCTATCTCTCTCCATCTCTCTCTATCTCTCTCTCTACATCTCTCTCTCTACATCTCTCTCTATCTACATCTCTCTCTACATCTCTCTCTCTACATCTCTCTCTCTACATCTCTCTCTATCTACATCTCTCTCTACATCTCTCTACATCTCTCTCTACATCTCTCTCTTTACATCTCTATCTCTTTACATCTCTCTCTACATCTCTCTTTACATCTCTCTACATCTCTCTTTACATCTCTCTTTACATCTCTCTCCATCTCTCTCTACATCTCTCTTTACATCTCTCTATCTCTCTTTACATCTCTCTCTCTACATCTATCTTTACATCTCTCTTTACATCTCTCTCTACATCTCTCTCTACATCTCTCTTTACATCTCTCCATCTCTCCCTACATCTCTCTCTACATCTCTCTCTCTACATCTCTCTCTACATCTCTCTCTCTACATCTCTCTCTACATCTCTCTCTATCTCTCTCCCTACATCTCTCTCTACATCTCTCTCTACATCTCTCTCTATCTCTCTCTCTACATCTCTCTCTACATCTCTCTCTATCTCTCTCTCTACATCTCTCTCTCTACATCTCTCTCTACATCTCTCTCTCTACATCTCTCTCTATCTCTCTCTCTACATCTCTCTCTACATCTCTCTCTCTCTACATCTCTCTCTACATCTCTCTCTACATCTCTCTCTCTCTACATCTCTCTCCATCTCTCTCTACATCTCTCTTTACATCTCTCTATACATCTCTCTTTACATCTCCATCTCTCTCTCTCTCTATCCATCTCTCTCTCCATCTCTCTCTCCATCTCTCTCTCTCCACCTCTCTCTCTCCATCTCTCTCTCTCTCTCTATCCATCTCTCTCTCCATCTCTCTCCATCTCTCTTATTTTTTTTAACGTGAAGCCGTGCCTTTATTTGTATTGACTTATTCAGAAGCAAAAGACACTTTGTTGGCGGTGCAGTCTTGCCAAATGAGGTCTGCCTGAACCCCCCCCCCCCCATCGCTATTGTAATGCGCGGCCACACCAGGTAAGTGAAGCAGAGGGTTGGTGGTGTTGTAGGCAGAGCAGGTGGGGGGGAACGAGTGAAGGGGGGGGGGGGTCTCGTGTCGTTCCTTGCACCCAGGGTCCATGCCAACCATTCTTCACCTCTGGTGTAGCGTTTGCGTGTGTTGTTAGTATTATAATTAAGTGTGTGTGTGTGTGTAGTGTGCAGTGTGTATAACTTCTTTCGCACTTTACGTAGCCAGCCGTGCTAATCGGAGGGGAGTGTATGGTGTATGTAATGCGTGTGGTGAGAATCTAATGTGTACACAGCCAATTAAGAAACGTGTGACGTGATGAACAAACGCGCTAATCTATTAGCGTGTCAGCACTACCGGTGCATTTCGAGAGTAATATCACAATTCTTTAACAATTCGGTTGTCCGACGTTTCGCTTTTAGGTACAAAACCAACATCATGATCAGACATTCATCAGAACTGTGAAAATCTCATGCATGGGTTCAAAGTGCAGAGTGCTAACCACCACGCCCACCCGTGCTTTACACTACACACGCACAAAGACAAAGATCCCCCGTATAGCCTTAACAGGCTGTTGGGGCAAGTGCTGTTAGCGAGCACCTATGAAGGCCGGAACGGTACACGAGGGGGTGGGTGGCCAGCACCACTCCCTGTCGCTCTCCATCTCTCTCCCCATCTCTCTCTCTTCCTCTCTCCATCTCTCTCTCCATCTCTCTCTCCATCTCTCTCTCTCCATCTTTCTCTCTCCATCTCTCTCTATCTCTCTCTCTATCCATCTCTCTATCCATCTCTCTCTCTTCCTCTCTTTCCTCTCTCTCTATCCATCTCTCTATCCATCTCTCTCTATCTCTCTCTATCCATCTCTCTATCCATCTCTCTCTCTTCCTCTCTCTCCTCTCTCTCTATCCATCTCTCTATCCATCTCTCTCTATCTCTCTCTATCCATCTCTCTATCCATCTCTCTCTCTATCTCTCTCTCTATCTCTCTCTCTATCCATCTCTCTCTTCCTCTCTATCCATCTCTCTCTTCCTCTCTATCCATCTCTCTCTCTTCCTCTCTCTCCATCTCTCTCTATCCATCTCTCTCTCTATCTCTCTCTCTATCCATCTCTCTCTCCATCTCTCTCCATCTCTTTCTCTCTTCCTCTCTCTCTCTCCATCTCTCTTTTTTTACAATCAGAGGAAACAAGAAGATGCTCGGTGTATTTTCTTTGGTTCTTTCGGTAAAGTCACCACGTAGAATGAGAATAAAATAATAAATTGATAAAATAAAATAACACAATAATATTCTCACGGCGTTTCGGCCACAACACAAGCGGCCTTCGTCAGGTGAAGGGACGAGACTGTCTGGAGGACAGCGCTGGAGTGAAAAAGCCATGCTCAGAAGCTTTAAATCGAAAGATGCTCGGTGTAGTCGGCACTTTGCTTCGTTCATCATTTCGTTTTTGTTAATGCTTTGTTTTATGTAACCCCCCCCCCCTTTTAAATGGAAGACCCAACAAAAAAATATATTTTTTTTAACTACGACAAGTGCTGCATCTGCACGCAGCCCTTCCCAAAGTCAAGCGGCCTCCGACGGGTAGCTCAGATCTGTACGCACAGAGCTCTCTACCGTCATCTGCCACCGAGCACACGGCCTCCTCCAGCGCCCACTGCTCCTTGAAGGCCGGCACGGCGTGGGTCAGCCGCGCGTGGCGGAACTCCGGCCACACCCTGGCTCCGACCAGAGCGCCGGAGATGCCCAGGCTGCTGGCCGGACGTTGCCCCTCCAGGGCCACCTTCCTCGCCCTGTATACGGCGAGCTTGGCGTAGCCGAAGAGCACGTTGACCGGCCCCTGAAGATGTTGGGGGTCCGTCGCCCCTCGGGTATCCAAAGATGAGGACCGTCGGGGAGAAGTGGAGGCTGAACCTCAGGAGGATGTTTCTCAGGACCTTGAACACAGCGAGTCCAGGCTCTTGCACTCCACGTATTGGTGCGCCACCGTCTCCACTTTACCGCAGAACCGGCACTCCGGGGACGTGTCTCCCACTCTCTCACCCACTCTCGCTTCCTTTCTCTCTCAATCTCTCCCGTCCACGTGTCAGCGCCACAATCATCATAACTTTGACCAATATTGAAGACGCTATGCTACCCCCCCCGACCCCCTCCCTCCATCCCCCCGCCCCCCCCCCCCCCCGATCCCCTGCCCCTCGCCACCTCCCCCTAACCCACTCCCCCTCGCCCACTCAGCGAGCGCGCACGCCACAGAGAAGGAGGCGCTGCTCTCCGAACTCAAGATCCTGAGCCACCTGGGGTCCCACCTCAACATCGTCAATCTCCTGGGGGCGTGCACCGAGAGAGGTGGGCGGGGCTAGCGGGAGGGCCCAGGGGTGGGTGAGGGCATCGTGTCAGGGGGAGGAGCCAGGGGTAGGGGGGGGCAGGGGGAGGAGCCAGGGGTGGGTCGGGGGGATGGGGTCAGGGGGAGGAGCCAGGTTGGGTCGGGTCAGGGGGAGGAGCCAGGGGCAGGGGTGAGGAGGTGGGGGCCAGAGGGATGAGATGGATGATATATTCTAGATTTGAAGCTTTCGTGACTGCAATGATCCATACTCTTTGGTTCTATTCGGTAAAGTCACGTAGGTAAAAAAGAAAACAACAAAAATCACGACGTTTCGGCCACAACACAAGCGGCCTTCATCAGGTGAAGGGATCAGGCTGTCTCGAGGACAGCGCTGGAGTGAAACACAGCCAAGCTCAGACCGCGACCTTCAAGCTGTGTGCGAGGAAACAAGGTGCCTTGACAAAGGAATTAGCATAAAAAATAGCATTTGATTGGCCAACTTAGCATAGAGGGTACCCCCATGGGATCCCCCTTCTCACCAGTGATAGCCAATATTTTCATGGAGAAATTTGAATCAGATGCCATCCAGACTTCCACCCTCAGACCTTCCCTGTGGAAGAGATATGTGGATGACACTTTCGTCATTTGGCCACATGGCCTCCCAGCTCTGAACCTTTTCCTACACCACATCAATTCCAGACATCCCGCCATCAAATTCGCCATGGAGGTGGAGAAAGATGGCAAGCTACCATTCTTGGATGTTCTGTTAGAGAGGAGACCTGATGGCTCATTGGGGCATTCTGTCTACAGGAAACCCACCCACACGGATTCCTACTTGAAGCCTGATTCCCACCACCACCCAGCCCAGAAGAATTCTCTCATCAAAACTTTATACCATAGGGCTCATTGCATTTCGGACCAACACCACCTGACCAGTGAATTAAAACATGTACACCTGGCCCTCAAAAGGAAAGGATACTCTGACCGTACCATCCGCCAAGCTGTTTCTCCCTCCATACAGAAACAACCTCTTGATACTCCGGTCAAAACCATCACACTACCATATATAGCAGGCGTTTCGAAAAGGATTTCCAAAATTCTAAACAAACACAAGATCCAGGTCCGGTTCAACACAGTACACAAAATTCGTGATCTGATCCCATCCGTGAAGGATGTCATTCCTGACTTACAGTACCCCGGGGTTTACAAATTGAGTTGTATCTGCGGTGATTGCTATATCGGGGAGACAAAGCAACATGTTTCTGACCGAATTCGCGAGCACAAATCAGATTTGAAACACGGCAAAACGAATTCTTCTGATGTAGCTAATCATTGTTACAACGCTGTGGGTGATCACGATATAATTTTCTCCGATACCAAGGTTCTTTGCAAATCCACGGTTTTTTTTTTTATCAGAGATTTGTTTACGAGGCAATTCAGATCTACAAGCAGAGACAAAATTTCAACCAAGAAGATGGTTTCAAATTAAGCAACCATTGGAAAGATGTTCTAAATCGAACCAAACATTAAACTAATTTTCAATGGTACAGTATATTTTTCAAGTAGTGGTACCCCAAACTTTCGCAGCTCTTAAATTCCCTTTTCACACCATCAATATGTAAACTCCCCCTCCCCCCCCCCGTGCCAACCGGCATGTGCACCCACATGTACACCACCTCTATGCTAAGTCGGCCAATCAAATGCTAATTTTTATGCTAATTCCTTTGTCAAGGCACCTTGTTTCCTCGCACACAGCTTAAAGGTCGCGGTCTGAGCGTGGCTGTGTTTCACTCCAGCGCTGTCCTCGAGACAGCCTGATCCCTTCACCTGATGAAGGCCGCTAGTGTTGTGGCCGAAACGTCGTGATTTTTGTTGTTTTATTTTTTACCTACGTGACTTTACCGAATAGAACCAAAGAGTATGATATTCTTGGTTCTTTCGGTAAAGTCACGTAGAAGGGAAACAATAAAATGATAAAAATATAAAACAATATTCTCACGACGTTTCGACTGCAACACAAGCAATCATCATCAGGTGTGAAAACCACAGCAAGAAAAAAATTGAAAAAAGTGGCTGATATTGTTGCTACTGACGACGACGATGATGCTGTTGTTGTTGTTGCTGGTCCACTTCCCCCCCCCCCCCCCCCCCCCCCCAGAACCCGTGCTCGTTATGACCGAGTACTGTTGCCATGGTGACCTCCTCAACTTCCTCATTGCCAAGCGTGCTCATTACCGGGCATGTGACCCCCCCCTCCCCCACCACTACGCCAACCTCACCTACAGGTGCCCACCATTCACCCACTCACCCACCCACTCATTCACCCACCCACTCATTCATCCTCTCATTCACCCACCCACCCACTCACCCACCCACTCACTCACCCACTCACCCACCCACTCATTCACCCACCAACTCATTCACCCACCCACTCATTCATCCTCTCATTCACCCACCCACCCATTCACCCACCCACTCACCCACCCACTCACCCACTCACTCACCTACCCACTCATTCACCCACCCACTCATTCACCCAACCACTCACTCACCCACCCACTCACTCACCCACCCACTCACTCAACCACCCACTCACCCACCCACCCACTCACCCACCCACTCACCCACCCACCCACTCACCCACTCACCCACCCACTCACCCACCCACTCACCCACTCGCCCACCTGCTCACCCACCCACCCACTCACCTACTCATTCACCCACTCATTCACCCACCCACTCATTCACCCACCCACTCACTCACCCTCTCATTTACCCACCCACTCATTCACACTCTCATTCACCCACCCACTCATTCACCCACCCACTCATTTACCCTCTCATTCACCCACCCACTCATTCACCCACCCACTCATTCACCCACCCTCTCATTCACCCACCCTCTCATTCACCCACCCTCTCATTCACCCACCCACTCATTCACCCACCCACTCACTCACCCACTCACCCACTCACCCACCCACTCACTGACCCACACACCCACTTACTCACCCATCCACTCACTCACCCACCCACTCACCAACCCACCCACCCACTCACACACCCACCCACCCTCCCACTCTCCCACCCACCCACCCACACACCCACACACCCACCCACTCACTCATTCACCCACCCACTCATTCACCACCCACTCACCCACCCACCCACTCACCCACACACCCACCCACTCACCTACTCACCCACACACCCACCCACTCACCCACACACCCACCCACCCACCCACTCATTCACCCACCCTCTCATTCACCCACCCTCTCATTCACCCACCCACTCACTCACCCACTCACCCACCCACTCACTGACCCACACACCCACTTCCTCACCCACCCACTCATTCACCCATCCACTCAATCACCCACTCACCCACTCACCAACCCACCCACCCACTCACCCACCCACCCACTCACCCACCCACCCACTCACCCACCCACTCAACCACCCACTGACCCACCCACCCACTCACCCACCCACTCACTCACCCACTCACCCACCCACTCAACCACCCACTGACCCACCCACCCACTCACCCACCCACTCACTCACCCACTCACCCACCCACTCACCCACCCACCCACCCACTCACCCACCCACCCACCCACCCACCCACCCACTCACCCACCCACCCACTCACTCATTCACCCACCCACCCATTCACTCATTCACTCACCCACCCATTCACTCATTCACCCACCCACCCACTCACCCACCCACCCACCCACTCACCCACCCACCCACCAACCCACCCACCCACTCACTCACCCACTCATTCACCCACTCACTCACCCACCCACTCACCCACCCACTCATCCACCCACTCACTCACTCACCCACCCATTTACTCACTCACCCATTCACTCACTCACCCATACACTCACCCATCTACTCATTCACCCACCCACTCATTCACTCACCCACCCACTCACCCACCCACCGACTCCCTATCCCATTCCATCATTCACTAATCCCATCATCATCATCTTGGGGGGGGGGGGGGTGCTGCGGATAAAATGCTTACCGCTTTGTAGAGTTTATTGATTTCATTTCAGTTTATTTATTAGGTATAGCCCTGTGAGCCATTGGGCTCTTGAATCGGGTGCAACCACAACAAACAAAAAAAACAAAAACACGAACAAGAAAGACATCTTAAAGTGACTTTGTGACTGTGCAAACAGAAAATCCAAGAAAAAACATCAAAATATTCCTGAAAAAAGCTCCGTACACCAATGCTGTGTGCAAAAAATCCCAGTGGGATACAAGTCAAACAACAACAATCACAAGAAAACTTAGATTAAGGCCATCAGTCTAACTCCGTACTACAACAAAACAAACATGTCCAAACCAAAAAACTTTTCCAAATCACCAACAAATAAAGCCATAATTACAACGTAACAGTGATCACAGGGACTGTGACCGAATTTTTACAATAAACTGCATAAATAACATGTAACACCAAATCCTAGAGCCATAGCTGGCTGCATGAGTTACTCCACAGCAACAGAGGCATCAGTCGGAGTACCAAATTTTTCAATGCACCTTTAAGATCAGCACACTAAATCAAAATACAGATAATGCTTTGCAGCGGTCATCCGGAGCGAAACATTTTATTTTATTTTAGGCCACTGAATAGCAGTGGCAGCTAGGGGTGTACAACTCCTCTAGAGCAGTTTTGAGAGAATCTCTCATAGGTGGTGATTCAAGTTGCAGTTTATTGGCGATAGCATTCCAGACCCTGGGGGCATCAATAGCAAAGGCCCTTCCTCCAGTTTTTGTACGGCAATAGGGAATGTGAAGCTGGTAAATGAGCGAAGACCTGAGGTCAAATTTGGTCTTTGAAACAGAGAGGAGATCCAGCAGCAGGTAGTCTGCGGATTTTGTTGTAAGTACATCGTGAATAAATAAGATCTGGTGTACAAGACGTCGAACATTAAGAGATGTTAAGTTTGACCCAATGTAAATGAGTGAGAATGAACGGTGGTCGTTCTGTATGGATGGACTCGGCCCCCCGCCATGTGAACGTGGAATTTTCACCAGCGGCTGGGGAAGGGAAGGAGGAGCAATAAAAAAAACAACGACAAAGAAAACAATAAAAAAACACAACCAAAAAAAATCAACAAAAATCAACAACACAAAATACAACAACAACTAAACAACATTAAACAAACACAAATAAACAACAACAAGAAAGAACAAATAAAACAACAACAACAACATGGCTCTTGCGTGTCTCCTGCCACGCAGCGACACGTCTCTGGGGGGCGCATGGCCGCCGGACCCCCACGGAGAGGGGTCCCTGGGGACCACCCCGGGGGGGGGCCAGGGGGGGCTGTGGGAGGAGGGGGGCCCCCAGGAGGAGAGGGATCTGCTCCCCCTGCTCCCCCACGACCTCCACAGCTGTGCCCTGCAGGTGGCACGCGGCATGGCATTCCTGGCGGCCCGCTGCGTGAGTGCCGATACCCCTGATCCCCCCTGATCCCCCCTGATCCCCCCTGATCCCTCCTGATCCCTCCTGATCCCCCCTGATCCCCCCTGATCCCCCCTGATCCCCCCTGATCCCCCGTGATCCCCCGTGATCCCCCCTGATCTCCCCTGATCCCCGTGACCCCCCTGATCCCCGTGATCCCCCGTGATCCCCCCTGATCCCCCCTGATCCCCTATGATCCCCGTGATCCCCCGTGATCCCCCGTGATCCCCCCGTGATCCCCCCTGATCTCCCCTGATCCCCCCTGATCTCCCCTGATCCCCCATGATCCCCCGTGATCCCCCGTGATCCACCCTGATCCCCCCTGATCCCCTGTGATCTCCCCTGATCCCCCTCAATACCCCATGACCCCCCTTTCAAGCCTCCCACTGGGAGAGTTGCTGATCACCTTTGATCCCTCTGTCGATCCTGTGATCCCCATGTGGGCTATCCATTATAGCTCCGCTCTTGATCCCCATCTCCCCATTGATCCCCTGTGGCCTATTAATTGTAACGTGTTCTTTTCCTCGAGCTCTCTCTCCCCGTGTCTCCCCGTGTCTCCCCGTGTCTCCCCGCGTCTCCCTCCGTCTCCCTCCCCGTGCCTCCCTGCGTCTCCCTCCCTGCGTCTCCCCGTGTCTCCCCGTGTCTCCCTGCGTCTCCCCGTGTCTCCCCGCGTCTCCCCGTGTCTCCCTCCGTCTCCCTCCCTGTGTCTCCCCGCGTCTCCCTCCGTCTCCCTCCGTCTCCCTCCCTGTGTCTCCCCGTGTCTCCCTCCGTCTCCCTGCGTCTCCCTCCCCGTGCCTCCCTGCGTCTCCCTCCCTGCGTCTCCCCGTGTCTCCCCGTGTCTCCCCGTGTCTCCCCGTGTCTCCCCGCGTCTCCCCGTGTCTCCCTCCGTCTCCCTCCCTGTGTCTCCCGGCGTCTCCCTCCGTCTCCCACCCCGTGCCTCCCTGCGTCTCCCTCCCTGCGTCTCCCTGTGTCTCCCCGTGTCTCCCCGTGTCTCCCTGCGTCTTCCTCCCTGTGTCTCCCCGTGTCTCCCTCCCCGTGTCTCCCCGTGTCTCCCTCCATCTCCCTGCATCTCCCTCCCCGTCCCTCCCTGTGTCTCCCCGTGTCTCCCCGCGTCTCCCTCCATCTCCCTCCCTGCGTCTCCCCGCGTCTCCCTGCGTCTCCCTGCGTCTCCCTCCCGCGCGTGTCCCTGCGTCTCCCTGCGTCTCCCTGCGTCTCCCTCCCCGCGTCTCCCCGCGTCTCCCCGCGTCTCCCTGCGTCTCCCTCCCCGCGTCTCCCCGCGTCTCCCTCCGTCTCCCTGCATCTCCCTCCCCGTTCCTCCCTGTGTCTCCCCGTGTCTCCCCGCGTCTCCCTCCGTCTCCCTCCCTGCGTCTCCCCGCGTCTCCCTGCGTCTCCCTCCCGCGTCTCCCCACGTCTCCCTGCGTCTCCCTCCGTCTCCCACCCCGCGTCTCCCTGCGTCTCCCTCCCCGTGCCTCCCCATGCCTTCTCCGCTGCTGATCCCCGCGTCTCCCCCGCAGTGTATCCACCGCGACTTGGCGGCGCGCAACGTCCTCGTGACGCACGGCCGCATGCTCAAGATCTGTGACTTCGGCCTGGCCAGGGACGTGTCCACCGACTCCAACTACGTGCTCAAGGGCAACGTGAGAGACGCGGAGAGACGCAGAGACACAGGCAGAGAGACACGCAGAGAGACACGCAGACACACGGAGAAGACACGCAGAGAGACGCGCGGACATACGGAGAGACGCAGACACACGGAGAGACAGAGACATGCAGAGAGGCAGGGAGATACACGCAGAGAGACACGCAGAGAGACGCACGGAGGCGCACACACACACTCATCACACACATTCTTACACACACACTCTCACACACACACTCATCACACACACATTCACACACACACTCATCACACACACTCATCACACACACACTCATCACACACTCATCACACATTCACACACACACACTCATCACACACACATTCACACACACATTCACACACATTCACACACACATTCACACACATTCACACACACACTCTCATCACACACACTGATCACACACACATTCACACACACACACACACATTCACACACACACTCATCACACACACATTCACACACACACTCATCACACACACATTCACACACACACTCATCACACATTCACACACACACACACTCATCACACACACATTCACACACACATTCACACACACACTCATCACACATTCACACACACACTCATCACACACACATTCACACACACATTCACACACATTCACACACATTCACACACACACACTCATCACACACACTCATCACACACACTCTCATCACACACACTGATCACACACACATTCACACACACACATTCACACACACATTCATCACACACACATTCACACACACACACTCATCACACACACTCATCACACACACTCATCACACACACATTCACACACACATTCACACACACACTCATCACACACACTCATCACACACACTCATCACACACACATTCACACACACACTCATCACACACTCATCACACACACATTCACACACACACACTCATCACACACACACTCATCACACACACATTCACACACACATTCACACACATTCACACACACATTCAC